GGAATGTCTGCCTGATTTAGCGGGTATTCCTTGACGAATTTAATGCTCTCCGCCATTACAAAGAACGGTTTGTTCATGGTTTTCGCCACTATTGCAACGTTAAGAGTTCCAATCTATAAGAATTCAAAATGACAGGACTCCGCTAAGAATCAAATAGTTTGAGAAGAAAAGTACAATTTTTTGATTTTTTAGCATGAATGTAGCGAAATGAAAGAAAAACTAGCCTTGTTGATAATGCCACCAGTTTCCATAACACCTTCTGCTCCAACCGCAACCATGTCAATCCGTTCCATTATGTACCTGCAAGATTCACATTTGCTCATTTATACGACCAGAGTATGTAGAAGAGCTTTAGACTGTTTTTAATAGTCTGCTGTTTTTGGTCGCAGTTCGCCTTGCGAATGTTTCACAAGAATGCTGGGTTGTGAACAAAACTTTCACCTCAGATGGGGATCGAACCCAAGGTGCCGTCAAGTTCCGTCTGGGGCGAAGGTTTTTTTCAGAACCCAGCATTTTTGTGAAATTTTTTTGTGTTGAAAAAGGTTCAAGCCATTGTTGTGAAAATGGGGGAAAGAGTGTTCTAATAGATAATGCCATAACGGAAGGTTCATCGATGAGAAATTCCCTTGATTTGAAAAGGCTCATATGTGAGTTGAAGTCAATGAATATAACTTATTTCAAAGATGTTTCCATGTGGAACAGTGAGCAGGTTTAAAATCTGCAAGACTTCGAAGGAAAATTGACTACTCATAGTCTCGCCACTCGTTTTGGCTTTACGAAAAACAGCAGAATTTCGAACTACATAAGCAATCCACGATTAAAAACAACATCGAAATTAGAATGTTTAGAGCCATAGAAAACAGAAAACGAAAACAGATACTAACCCAACAGCACTATCCAATATCAACGTTGTCGTGATGCCCTCCTTTCTTAGAGCCTCCTGCATTTGCAGACCAGATCCATCTGGTTGAGATTCCGTAACCTATATCATAATAAACTTGGTGTTCGAGTTGATGTATTTATTTGTTCCTAACTATAAGAATTTCAAAATAATTGGTCAAACTTACCCAAACGTGAAAAACTGTGCCTGCTTTGTGAACTGTGACTAGAGTTTCTAAGACAACTTTGCTGTATGAGTGCGTTAAGACGTTCTGGAAGTTCATTATCTCATGTCGAATTGACCCACCAAATAAACTAAAGACAAAACTTTTCCCTAATGAGACTTACCATATTATTTCTGAAGAAGGGTCTGGCGTGTTTAGCTATCATTCCTCTGGATTTGGCCACCCGATTGATAAAAATTTTTCCTCGATGGCGATAGAAATCCAAAACTTTTGAAAAATCTTGTTGATCAAGGAGTTCTGCGGGTGCAAGGGTAATGAATCTGAAATGATTCCTCTTGAAAATATAAAACGGAAATATTTAAAGTAAAAAAGATTCTAGATACTTTGACCAAGCAATGGCAAAATCCAGAATTACCTTCGGAAAAGATCACTGGCGCTTCTTATCGACGTGGAACTATGGTCCGTCTTGGCCATACCGCTCACGATTCCAGTCAGCTCCTTGTTCAACTCATTCACAGTTGTAGCTGCAAGCGAAATTCCTTCAAAATAATTGCTCGATAAAGCTCGTTAGAGTTTACGACTCTCTACCCAAAAAGATTATATTTTCTACATGAACGGCAACTTATCATGGTAGTTTTTAATGGTCCCAAAGGTTTCATACACCTAAAAAGGAATGAGCAAGAGTTTCACCCATTGTAGACGTGAAAGAATGGGGGAGAGACCGCTACATGGGTTGTTATTTCACCTATGTGGATTTTTTTAAAGGTTTGTAAAGTTAGTACACGTTTTCTGATACGCTAAACAACGATTGCACCACTCCTGGAACAATCTATCATTGATGATTAATGAAAAATTAATAACATAATACTATGTTCCAGGAGTAGTTTGATCCTCAGTAAATTTCGTGTACGGTTATTTATGATGCCCTACTATTTAAAAACCTTTGGCTCTAGGAGATTTTTGAGATTTGAAATTGTGCTCAGGGGCAAATCACTCAAATTTTTGCTTCCTTGGCTCCGACGAAGGCGACAGGGAGGAAACGCTGGTTACGTATTAGCATCCTGGTGACGGCTTTGCAAACCGAAGGAAATGTTAAATTATGGCAGCAATAAAGACGGGCCGCAATGGGTTAAATGAGCGATCTATGGAGGAGCGTCAAGCTTAGCAGATACGTAACGTCATATTGAAACAGAAATAGAAAGGCATGTTATAAGGATAGTGATTCTTCGTTGCTCTAACGATACCCCCTTACTAACTTATGAATAGACACCGACAACACTTTTATTACCTTCCATTGGGTAGGTGTCAGAGTTCGCGACTGCAAGATACTAAGTAATATAGAAACACGCTCAAATGAAATCACAAATAAATTTTGAAAAATTACCGTTGCTATTTTCAAGGGCCGTCAACAGCGTTTCAATTGCTGCTAAACCTGTTGATTTCATTGGGTCCTCTTCCAAAAGTTGCGAGAATCCTTCTGCCGTACCCAATAAACACGATTCTGGCGTCATCGGTGCTGGCGTCATCGGTTCAGGCGTCACTATTGGTTTATACACTGGATTTCC